TACCTTTCAAAGCAGCACCTACCCATATAGCTTATATATGGGAGTACCCCCTCCCCCGGGATTTCCTGAAATCAGAAGTGCAGTGTAACAACTGGAAACATTCCTCAGGCGTGAAATATGGGCTTAGCCCAGGTCTTCAGTTTTCAGATAGAAAAAAAAGCTACCTCAGTTTTTTAGTCATCAAATATAGGATACGGAAACTTAAGTCTGAAAAAGAATGAGGATTTCGAATTCCAAAAAACCATCGCATGATTGAAACAAGGGTTAATTGAGGTAAATGTAAGTTCCACCCTCTCCCCTTACCTCCGTCCACAACTTGAATTTCAACTCTTACTTTGCAGTCGAAAGAAATCACATTAGCTATTCACCTGTAATACGTTTTCTTTTTTTCTCTCTCCCTCTCTTTTTCAGACAAAAGCCATATACATTGCCGAAGGATTCCCGATCAAGTCAGTGATAACACAGAGTATTAGCTGCAATTCATCTTTAAATATCACTTTAGAACTGTCGTTTGATACCGGAATTCCATCAGAAAAAACCATTGAAGAGGTGTTTCAGGCTGCGCTCAAGGACGGAAACATTACCAATTTAACAGAAAATAACACAATCTACACGTTTAGTTGTAAGTGAAGAAAATAAATAAGTATTAATTAGATCCTCTTGCAGCTGGTCGATTTAAGTTCACTTACTCTTTAGCAACCATTGAATCTGTTTCGGTCAGCCACTGAGAGGTGCAGAGTAGGCCCGTCGGTTATTATAGGAGAGAAGATTCCGAGGAAGATCATTTAAGAGACCACTTAAAAAGGAATGAATCGAGGAGGCGGATGGCCGAGTGGTTTAGGGCGCTAGATTTGAAATCTGGAGGTCCCTGGTTCAAATCCTTTTCCCTAACACTACCTGGATTTGTTTTCGGTAGTTCCTTTTTCAACTCATCGACCACGTTGTTGTAAAGAGCCAGCCTCCTACCAGTTGGAACTCTTAATAGTTTATGTCCAATTAGTTAATTTATTTTATTATTTATTTAACCTCCTCATACAAGAGCCGTCGTTACAAGAAACGCGTATTCCGTTGATCCTTAACCACGTTTGGATATGTTTAAATCAATCACAAAAATACCCAACAATTATGCGATTTGCTTGGGAATAATTATCCAGCGAATATCGCATGGCCAGACATGGACAGTTAATTCTAGTATAGGAGGATAAATTCTCCTTAACAAACAAGTGCTGCTCAAATGTCTTGCTTTTGGTCTGCCAAGAGGGGCAAAATTAAAAAAAATTATAGCATAGCCTTACCAAGCACGCGTTCTGATTGACTAATACGCTCGATCCATTTGCCCGTGGGTTACACGCTGACGTCAATTTGTTTGGTTGTACTTTTTCTCGCAATTTTTTTCATCAATGTTGACACTTTGTAAAACATGATTCCTATTTTTCTTCCCTTAAAATATGGAAATATGTAATAATTCTTCCGGAGATGAGGATTTTTATTCCTGTGAGCTACCAAGTTTTTTGCCGGGCCTCCATAAGCGAGCAGGAATTGAATCAGGTGGTTTAACAAAGGCACTCGGCANCCCCCCCCCAAAACAAACTGCTTTGTATCAACCTGTCGAGGGTAGTAATACATAGCGGGAATTTTAGGGAGAATTTTCTAGCGATTTGACGACAATCAAATTCAGAACAAGCTTTCGTTGCAAACCTTTTCTTGCATCGAAAGCCATTTAAGATGGCTCAAAACAGTTTCTAACACTTAGATTTTGATGGGTCATTATATCCACTCTTTATCATTTGATGCTACAATCATGGTATTAAAAATTTGCCCAATCATTGGAGAACAGGTTGTTATCATCTTCGTGACACAATAGGTTGCCATAGCAACAGTATGACCACCTAAAAACACACTTAATTACAGCTTTAGGGGCTTATAATTTAAAAACGGCACGGTGAAATTTTTTATATTATCAACTTTTGATAAACATGATGAGATGCAACTTTTAGCAAAGTTTAAAAAAATTCTGTAGGTAGGGTTCAGAGCCACCTTAAGGTGGCTCTGAACCCTACCTACAGAATTTTTTTGGACATTGCCAAAAGTTGTGTCTTATCATGCTTGATAATATAAATTTGATAAAGTTGAGTAAAGTTGATAATATAAAATAAAGTAATAGCTCACAGAAGAGGTCAAAATGTGGTAAGAACATCAGTAACACACTCGGCTATCGCCTCGTGTGCCACTTATTTGTTCTTACCACATTTTGACGTCATCTGCGATCTATTACTGAACAGACGCACGGTAACATGGAATCGATTTGTTAAATAGACACCTTAATTTGTTCGATCGATGTGTTCGTAGTTCGATTCCAGCCTATTTCTTAAATACAATTATCCATTATTTGCTACAGTAAAAGCTGTTACCAAGATCTTAAACTAAGGTGCACTGCAAATGAACTTAAAATTTTTTTACAGCCATAGTTTTCCATAATATATAAGACAGGATCTACCCTCGAGATGAACATTCTGAATTCAAAACAAAACAAAACAAAACAAAACAAAAAACAATAAACGCAAAACAATACCAAAACACCTAATAATCCCTACTAATACCTACTTCCATGCATGGTTCGTTTAGTAGCAGTGTTGCAACCCAAAAAAACATTCAAGGTTCGTTAATTAAGTAGCAGTGTTGTAACCAAAAAAGGAAACACGCCTCTTGTTTTAAAGCGATACCTAATGATTCCAATTTTTCGTAAAGACCCTATTGAAATATGGTTACTGCAGAAATGTTCAATCAAAAGACCAAACAATTGGGAAAACAGACTGATGACAAAAGCATTTTAGGAAAAGCCTGAAATTGTGATCACTAATGCTTTAAAGCTGCATGATAAGCGCAGGCGCTGACCTCCCTGTCCCCTTTTCTTTCGCCTTTAAGCTTGCAAGCGCCCTCGTTTCATAAACGGAGCTCGGATAAAGTTTCAAGGATAACAGTTTCTTCTTAAAGGAAACATTAGAACAAAGATTAGAGAAAGCAGTTTCCAAACCAGGCCGCTGCTTCTATCTCTTTCAATTCACTGTTGCACTACGCTAGCTACATGGTAAAAAAAGTGTTAGGTTAAATTTTTATTGAATAAGCAAATTAGACAAACCAATCAGTCCTGTAAGGGAAAGAACTTTATCTGATTGATGCTTTCTTTCCTAATTCAGGTTCAATAGTTATCTTGACATTAACAGTTACAACTAATTGCAGTGGAAACAGATCGATGGAGTTAAACGTCAGCTTGCAGAACGACGTGAGTAAAAGCAAAACCGTACTTAGTTCCAACACAACAACATGCAGTCCTCGCACGTTATTACCATTTTTAAACATTCAATTAAAAATTTTGGTCTGAAATAGAGCGGCTTTTGCACAGTCACGTCTAGCATAAAATAAAACATTTGTCATTAATTACTATTATATCTAACTTAAATCTTTGTGTAGGGGTGTACCGCTTGGTCACTGAAGCCTTTCCGTATACCCTATACTTGACCATGAACAACTTAATTGTGCTACCCTACCTTACACTAGACACTAAAAACCCCTACCCTATCCCCAGACTAGCTAGTGTCAGTACTGAAACTGTCACTATCGTAGTCCAACACATGCCAACTAAACCATGTAATATCTTACAGAGTCACTTCCGAGCGTAGTTTCAATTTCTGTTATAGAACTCCGGGTAATTAAAGAACCCCGTTTTAGACTAAATTATTATTACCCTGGCCGTTTTTAAATGTATGGTATCGGATTTGAATAATAGCGGTATAATTTGTGGAGTAGGTTAATCATTAACTCGCTTATGGACATTAATGCTTGATCATATGATAGCTCCCCAGTTCTATTGCAATTGAGAGAGCGTTCTAGCTTAGTTTTTGTGGGGCTTACATGAAGAATGTAGCCACATTATGGCATGATCGGATTTATTTATTTGTCCACGAGGGTCAGCACCTGTCACGTGGTCTTGTGTCGTACGCTCTAGTCTGAGTCAGCCATTTCGGTTGTAAGCGTGGTCTTTAGTTTCCCCTGCTTTTAGTTTGAAAGGTAAGTGGTTTTTCTTTTTGAGCTTGGTCTTGAGTTCTGCATCTTATCATTTCTTTCACGTGTCTCAAATCTAACTTCGTAATTAAATACAAATAACGAAACCCATTTGCCGTTGTTTCCCTTCCAGGTGTTCATGCAAGTCGACAAATCGAGACAACGGGAGTAAAGTTCCTCGCGAAAGCTAGGACAGACTTGGCACGGTGTCCAGTGCAGGTTCTGCAGGAGCCATTTTATACTTTTGAAAGGCAATATTCATTGCTTTGAACCGTCAGAAGTTTAAAATATCTCCATCGGTGACCACAAATTCAAGGACAGTACCGGGTAAGTTTGAAAACAATATTCAATCAGGAATTTCGGAAACAAGAGGTTTCAACGCTTTACATTTGGATAGAATTAGTGGGATTACTTGTTTACAAATGCAAGTCATGGAAGAGGTCACTCAACGATCAGTTGACTGTAAAGCCGTCGATTTGCGGAATATATTTTTACCCTTTTGAGTGAGTACGCTTCTTCGCCTCAGTTTGAATATGAACTGTGACCTTTTCTCTTTGTCCAAATTAGATATTCAAAAGTGAAATAAATGTTATTTTCCGGCTAGGAGGTCCGTATAGTGAAAAACTATGACCGAGGTCTTGAAAATGCTGCCCGAGGTCTCAGTTTGTCATTATACGGACCGACCCTAAGCCGGCAAATAACATGTTTATTTTTTTCTTCCTGCAGTAAATTGGTTTTACAGATTACAAATGGGTTTGTTTACGCAACTCTTGGCATTGAATTGGCTTGCGCGCCGTCTACTAACGATTCGTAAAAAATCTCGGCAACGAGCGAGTAACTCAGATAGTAGACAAAGAAAGGTATATTAAAGAACAGATTTTTTTGCGAACTACTTTGTTTTAGTTGCATTTATTTCACCAGTTAAGTCTCCAAAATTGTTTTTGCGGTGTGAAATTTTGTGAGAGGTCTGAAATTTTACAACAAAAACAATTTCTGTCAGTCGTTGCTTTTATAATCACTTGAAATCAGACTTTTCTACCGTAAATTGAGTGGCAGAAAGCGAGGAGATTCGTTAAGTGTATTCCACAGAAATTCTCCTAAATACAGCAACGATCAGAGAGGTAAACTCAACTGAAATTGACTCAAATTTTACGGCGAGAGAAACACAGGATTACCCGCCATTACAGCGCCAAGCTACAATCAACCAAGCAAACTCTCACAACTTCAAAACACTCAATTGAATTTACTTACAGTGACTTTCCTTGCCATTTTAAAGTGAACAGATATAAACTTGGGTTGACTAATCGTCGATGGATGTGTAAAAAAAGGCAAAATATTGACGATTACCGCTAACTTTTAGGAGCGAAATTTAGGCAGTGGGGAAAAAATTCGGCCCGTGGGCCGTATCGTAAAAAGCTGGACAGGTCACGTGCGTATGATTAGCCAATCAAATTCGAGGATTTAGGACTCCGGCCCGCTCAGATGCTTAACAAAAAAAAATAAATATATGTTATTTGCCGGCTGGGAGGTCCGTATAATGAAAAACTGTGACCGAGGTCTTGAAAATGTTGCCCGAGGCCGCAGGCCGAGGGCAGCATTTTCAAACCTGAGATCACAGTTTTTTACTATACGGACAGACCCTAAGCCGGCAAAACATATTGTCTCACTATTTACTGCAATTCCTGTAGACAAAGCGTGTGGCTACATGAAGAAAAAACTTGAAGATGACACATCTCTTCCCTCCAGGACATTTAAACATCAATGACATTGTTTCTCTGCTCAACTTCACTTTGTCGAACAACTATTTTGTCTTCAGTGACAAAATCTACAAACAAGTCCACGGTTGTGTCATGGGCAGTCCGGTCAGTCCCGTTGTGGCCAATCTCTGCATGGAAGAGATCGAGGAATCTGCAATCAATNAATGCTATAAGTAAAACCCTCCCAAAGTGATATTTTCTTAAAGATGGTTAAGGTTAAAGACCTGGCTTGAAGACTAGACTTCATATTTATGCCCACAGTGTGGTCTAGACTTACCGAGGCTTCTTAACCCCTACCCTCTCGGAGAAAAGTACTTTGGGAGGAAGTTTAACTTATATTACAACCCCTTTTGCACTTTAAAGGCGAGCGGAAGATTATGGATGAGATTTAAACTTCCTCTCCAAATATCCTTCCTAGAGAAGTAGAGGATTATGGACGACATTTAATCCTCCTTCGCGATTGTTTCATTCAAGGAAGTGCAGGTTTTGGGGGACAGGAATTAAGGCTCTTCGAATAATCTTCCCCTGTAAGATGATGAGGGATTTTAGAGAGGAGATAAACTACTGTGCACAATGGCTCGTTTAGGGGTATCTCACTCTGACGATTTTCTTTGGAATTGCCCTCTGCTTTGAGAATGAGGAATGTTCACTGGAGTAAACTAAATTTAAATACAAAGTAAGGGACAGCGACGCAGGTTTAACCGCATTCACGTTTCAGGTTCTTAATATTATTTCTATTCGCTTCTTCATTTGTTAATCAACTATCTCATCGTAATGTTTTCAGAAAGCAAGGAAATTACAAGTTTGAAATCATTATGTGGACTGACGACAGGGAGCACACAATCTTGTTGAATAGGAAGAGAATAAATAAAGGAATGAGAAGAACGAATAGTTTACCTTTGTCTCCTGTTGTTATTTCTTACGCCACCTTACAGGGAACATATAACATTGTAAATGTTATATGTAAACCAAAAAACACTTTTGCAGAGCGAAAAAAGGCCTAAGTACGAGTTCAGCACTACAGTGCTAAGCAGGACTTGTAGGTAGCGGTTTTTCCTGTAAGGTGGCGTAAGAAATAACAACAGGAGACAAAGGTAAACTATTCGCTCTTGTCATTCCTTTATTTATTCTCCTCCTATTCAACAAGATTGTGTGTCCCCTGTGGACTGACTGATTTTGTGACTTGTTTGGTTGGACCCATTTTTGAACCTAGAAATTAAGGAAAACATTTTTAAACTTTAACTTTTCAGTATCTATTTACTTCTACTGGCATGTTGACACAACGTTGTTTCCTTACTTGTGATCAACAACAAGCTTGGCCTCGACCTAGACCAGTAGTAGTGAAGAGCTGACTTGCCTTTAATGTCTTTATCTATGTTTTCTTGATTGAACTTAAAAAATCGATCTAAAGAGAGAAACTGGCATATTCATTTCCACTTGTTTTATTCGCATCCTTGGATGGGCCGTGGCTCAATTTTTCTCTGCAAAGAAGTCGTGTGATACAGAACTTAAGCCCAGCTCCGCGGTGTTATTTCTCGGTTGGATTATCGCTTAAAGAAAACAGCACTTCTTGTTAAAGGCGGTTTTTCATGTTTTTGGTATCCTTAACTTTTAATAGGGTATCACTCATGCTTCAAAAGTATCGATATTATTGATAAAAGAACGTAAAACCGAAAAATCAAACACAAAGCCTCTGCAATCTTATCAAGTCACTGGGCGTTTGTGGTTTCTTTTAAGCTTTTCAAAATATGTGAAGTAGTAACGTCGTTCTCAAACCGCCTTATCAGCGTTTTTCTCACCAAGTCCAATTACATCCTTTACAGGGACAGGTTTTCTTATTAGGTTCAATCTGTCTTGCAAATCGACCTTGTGTTTTCATTGAATACTAAAGCGTCGCTTATTAAACTATCAAAAAGCACAGGACACCTGCCTGCCAAGGATTTGAAAAACAAATATTGCTTCGGAAACAACCCTAAAACTCGACTGCTATTACCCACCAGCTAAGAAAGAGACTTTCAAATGCGGGGTAAAAATACAGCCTTTATCAGCAAAGATGTGAAATAACTTCCTGCTCCAAATTAATAACGACCTGTTGATATGTCCGCGACTAACAGTAATACAGATGTTTCCTATGTCACGTGTTTGATTCTCGGTTCCAGTTTCTTATAAGTCTTCGTTACAATGTCAAGCACATCCTGAAGACAGTTTTATTCGTTCGAATCATAGCTAATAGTGGACGTGGTCAAACAGGCTAAGATTTATGTTGGAAGGTCCTTGACCCTGCACATCTTTGGTTTTATGCTGCTAGACTATGCATCAATTATGTAATCGCAATGCTTCTTTCGGTTGGTTGTATGAGCACACATTACCACCTTTTGTATTTTGTCAGGTTTTGTGCAAGGTCAACCCCACAATAGCCAACAAAAGCATACAACAAAGAAATTTGCCATGTTTCATAACCATTTTCCTCTATTTTAAACTATGCTCAAAAGTATTGTGCTTCAGGAGTTTCTTATCTCATTTTAACTATTGCCAGTGCGTCTCAGAACAGGATTTCAAGTCAATGATCTTTCCAGTATCTTGATAAAGTGAAAACACTGCAAACTGACGCAAGTCAATATAAATGACTAAACTTGGTAACTTCTTGTTAAAACAATTAACGAAGTCGTTTTGTTTTGTCAATTTCCTCATTGCTTTACTTCAAAGGTGTTTTATGAATTTTGGTACACTTTTCTAAGCATAATTCTATGTTTTAGAGATATTTTGGCTTTTATGACGACTTAATTAAAAATATTTAACTTTTTGCATTGCTGTATTTTTTAGCGTTTTCAAAGGTTTTGACATATTTGCAAAATTTTGAATTACAAGATGGACGTCCTTTTGAAAAGCACGATATCATTTTTTCCTGAGAAGTCATTGCACGAAAATTAATATTCCTGGATGCTTAATCACCATATACAGTCGACTCTCGCCTTGCGGACACTCCGCTATTACGGACGCTCGCCATTAGGGACAAAATCCAGATCCTCGGCGAAAGCTATGGAGGTTTGACTGAAAATAACTTCCCCCGTTGCGGAATCTCGCTATTACGGAATTACGGACACTTCTGTGTCACCAAAATGACAGTCTTATTCGGTTTTGACTCTCGATAAAGAGGACACCACATACAAGTGTAGAGTTAGATTTTTATTGAATAATAAGCAAATTAGACAACCTAATTAGTCCTGCAAGGGTAAAAGCTTTTTCTGGGTGAAATAAAATTGTTGTTTTGATTTTTGTATAATTATAGTTTCTTTCTTTCCTAATTCTAATTCAGGTTCAATAGTAATTCTGATATTAAGAGTTACAATTGATTGCAGTGGAGACAGATTGATGGCCTTAAACGTCAGCTTGCAGACCGACGTGAGTAAAATCAAAACCGTACTTCAATAGATCCAACACAACAACATGGAATCCTCGCACGTTATTACCGTTTTTAAACATTCAATTAAAAATTTTGGTCTCAAAGAGAGCGAGTTTTGCACAATTACGTCTGGAAATGGGTGTAGCATAGAATTAAACATTTGTCATTAATTACTATTATATTTCACTTAAATCTATGTGTAAGGGTGTACCGCTGGGTCACTGAAGCCTTTACCCTATACTTGACCATGAACAACTTAATGTTGCTACCCTATCTATTATAGAACCCCGGGTAATTAAAGAATCCCGTTTTACACTAATTACTTAAGACTAATTACTAAATTACTATACCAAAGCTGTCTACTTTCTAAACACTGTGAGAGACTAACCTGCCTTTAAACCATACCTTTCAAAGCAGCACCTACTCATATAGCTTATCAGTGGCGGATTAGGGGAGGAGCACGGAGAGCCCATGCAACCCCCCCTTCCCCTTTATTCTGGGAAAAAAAAATCGCAGAAGGAAGAAAACCCGACATGGCAAGCAAATAAAACCGGGACCTCCACGCCCCCCTGCCTTCTTAGCTCAAGGTCTGGATCCGCCGCTGCTTATATATGGGTGTACCCCTTCCCCGGGCTTTCCTGAAATCAGTAGTTAAGTGTAACAACTGGAAATATTCCTCAGGCATGAAATCTGGGCTAGCTCAGTTCTTTAGTTTTCAGAGAGGATATGAGAGATCTCAGTTCTGAAATCAAAAGTGCAGTCTGACGAATATCAGGGATTCTACGACTTCTTCGTGTCTGAAAAATGGCTAGCTTNAATAACAATCGTACAGACCGCTTTCGCAAAATGGCTTCAAAACCAAAGAAACGTAAGATCAACGGCGAAAGCTCTGTAGAAACTGAGGATTTTTGAAGTGGAAGTCATGGTAAGTTTTCACGTTTATGTACTTTTGATTTGTTTGTATAAAATATTTCCGAGCTGATAAACTAAATTTGCTTCTCTTAGGGTATTGTGGAATTACGAATATTGTGAAGAAACTGTAATGGAAGCCAGGAAAATTTTGTCCAGAGCATACGGAGAGAAAGAAAATGCCGCCGGCAAATTGAGCTCTGTCTTGCTCGGAAGAATTCTTAACAAATTATGGGGAGATGAAGTTAAACTGGTGGGGCGACGACCACGTAACTCAAAGGTGCATAAACGTGAAAACTTACCATGACTTCCACTTCAAAAATCCTACGTTTCTTCAGTTGGTCTCGAGCTCAATTCATTGTCCATGTCTCTACGACTTCCCGCGGGTAAACTAGAGCGACTCCAATGTCTCGTTACTCGTTTCTCACGGCAGGTTTCGGCTTCCAAGCGTCATCTACAATCTCTCGCAGGTTCTCTTAACTTTTCGTGTCACGGTGTACACGGCGGTCGCGCGTTTCTACGGCGTGTCATCGACTGTGTTAACAGGCTTAGGCATTCGTCACATCGTTGTCGCCTTTGAAATTCTCAGTTTCGCGCGGACATTAAATGGTGGCAAAAGTTCCTTTTCACCTTTAATGATCGAAGCATGATACTCTATTTTCGGCATCCTGTCGTTTTTCAAACCGACGCATCTTTTCCCGGTTATGGGGCCGTTTGCTCCGATGATTGGTTTGCGGGGGTTTGGGTCCCCAGTTCCCTTGTAGACTACAGTATGTCGTTATATCCTCACAACTGGTGTACAGCTGGTCACGCCATTGATCATTCCCTTTGTTCCAATATTAACTTTTTAGAGTTATTCCCGGTCCTTCTTGCCCCTTGTCGCTGGGGTCCCGCTGGTCGAACAAAGTGTTTGTGTTGATACAGATAACACTCAAGCGATGACATCTATCAACAAAGGATATTGCAAAAACCTGTTGGCTATGTCTTGGTTGCACGAACTCTTCTGGCTCAGCGTGCGCTACAATTTTCATCTCTTTTCGCGTCACTTGCCTGGTTAACATAACATAACATTTTTGCCGACAGGTTTAGTCGCTTACTATCAACCTCAGAAAAGAGATTTTTAATGCATTTGCCTACATCCTTCAAATACTGCACGATCATCAATTATTTGTCTGCCATAAATGTTTTTCATCGGCAATTTGGTCACAGCGTCACATTTCAGGAGGTGTTCACAATCAAACTGGTCATGCTCACACGAGGGCTTCGCCGTATTTCGGGTGATGCTCGAGAACAGAAACTCCCAATCACTCCAGACATACTCAGGCGCATTTGCCCTCTTCCCTCCACTGACGTAGACTCCGGCTTTTGGGTCGCCATTCTTATCGACTTTTATAAGTCAAATCTCGTCTCTAATTCTGCGCACGACTATGACTCTTCCAAAAACTTATCTCGTTCTCATTCTTTATCCGCCCATGGGGACTTGTAATTTGTGTGCGGTGGTCTAAAACCATACAATTCAAGCAGCGTTCTTTGTTGATACTAGTGGTTCGCCTGCCTCCGAGCCACCCTTCATGCCCAGTACAAGCTTATGAACACCATCTACGTTGCCACCCGGCTCCATCCTCCTCGCCAGCCTTCCTCGAGTCCTTTGACGGCGACATCAAACCCATAACCTACGACGCGCCTGGTACGAAATTACGCTGTGTTCTCGCTTCCGCTGGCCTAGACCCCTCCAAATACTCCACTCATTCCTTACGTCGCGGTGGTGCTTCTTATGCGTTCAAGTGTGACGCCCCTGTCGAGCTCATCAACCTCCAGGGAGACTGGTCGTCTGACGCAGTTCTATTCTATATTGCACAGCCGCTAGAAAGACGTCTCCCAGTGGCCAGGCTCATTGCTTCGAACATTGCATGCCACCCGTATTAAATACTTTTCTCGTCACCTTCACCTGTTTTTGAACGGTCCTTTTGTCTGGTGGTTTGGGCGGGCCGCATCGTTTCGGGGTGCGCCTTAATTCAGTTGGCACCCCTCTCGATGTGGCTTTGTTATTTCCGGCAAACAATTATTAAGGTTACTTAAGATATTGTATATAGTTGTTGCTTATTTGATCGCGTCATTGCGTTACGAATTGAATTATAATACTCTATTTTATACCAAAGCTGTCTACTTTCTATACCCTGTCCCAGACTAACCTGCCTGAAAGCCATACCTTTCAAAGCAGCACCTACCCATATAGCTTATATATGGGAGTACCCCCTCCCCCGGGATTTCCTGAACTCAGAAGTGCAGTGTAACAACTGGAAACATTCCTCAGGCATGAAATATGGGCTTAGCCCAGGTCTTCAGTTTTCAGATAGAAAAAAAAGCTACCTCAGTTCTTTAGTCATCAAATATAGGATACGGAAACTTAAGTCTGAAATAGAATGAGAGTTTCGAATTCCAGAAAACCATCACATGATTGTAACAAGGGTTAATTGAGGTAAATGTAAGTTCCACCCTCTCCCCTTACCTTCGCCCAAAACTTGAGTTTCAACTCTTACTTTGAAGTCGAAAGAAATCACATTATTAGCTATCCACCTGTAACACGTTTTCTTTTTCTCTCTCTCTCTTTCTCAGATCAAAGACGTATACATTGCCGAAGGATTCCTGATCAAGTGGGTGATAATACGGAGTATTATCTGCAATTGCTATTCATCTTTAGATATCACTTTAGAACTGTGGTTTTACACCGTCAAAATTCCGTCAAGAAAAACCATTGAAGGGGTGTTCCAGGCTGCGCTCAAGGACGGAAATATTACCAGTCTAACAGAAAATAACACAATCTACACGTTTAGTAGTAAGTGAAGAAAATAAATAAGTATTAATTAGATCCTCTTGCAGTTGGTCGATTTAAGTTCACTTACTCTTGGGTAACCATTGAATCTGTTTCGGTCAGCCACTGAGAGGTACAAAGTAGGCCTGCCGGTTATTAGAGGAGAGAACATTCAGAGGAAGATCATTTACGCGACTACTGAAAAAGGAATGAATCGAGGAGGCAGATGACCGAGAGGTTTAGGGTGCTTGATTTGAAATCTGGAGGTCCCTGGTTCAAATCCGTTTCCCTAACAATACCTGGATTTGTTTTCGGTAGTTCCGAGTTAAACTCATCGACCACGTTGTTGTAAAGAGCCAGCCTCCTACCAGTTGGGACTCTTAATAGTTTATGTCCAATTAGTTAATTTACTTTATTATTTATTAAACCTCCTCATACAAGAGCCGTCGTTACAAGAAAAGCGTACTCCGTTGATCCTTAACCACGTTTGGATATGTTTAAATCAATCACATAAATACCCGACAATTATGCAATTTGCTTGGGAATAATTATCCAACGAATATCGCATGGCCAGACATGGACAGTTAATTCTAGCATAGGAGGATAAATTCTCCTTAACAAACAAGTCTTGCTCAAATGTCTTACTTTTGGTCTGCCAAGAGAGGCAAAATTTTAACAATTATAACATAGCCTTAGCGAAGCGCGCGTTCTGATCGGCTAATACGCTCGATCCATTTGCCCGTGGGTTGCACGCTGACGTCGATTTGTTTGTTTGTTTGTACTTTTTCTTAGCAATTTTTTTCATCGATGTTGACACTTTGTAAAACATAATTCCTATTTTTCTTCCCCTAAAATATGGAAATATGTAATAATTCTTCCGGAGATGAGGAATTTTATTCCTGTGAGCTACCGAGTTTTTTGCCAGGCCTCGCCATAAGTGAGCAGGAGTTGAATCAGCTGGTTGAACAAAGGCACTCGGCATCCAGAGACAGACCTTCCCCCCCCCCCCAAAAAAAAATACTGCTTTGTATCAACCTTTCGAGGTTAGTAATACGCAGTGGGAATTTTAGAGAGAATTTTCTAGCGATTTGACGACAATAAAATTCAGAACAAGCTTTCATTGCAAGCCTTTTCTGGCATCGAAAGCCATTTAAGGTGGCTCAAAACAGTTTCCAACACTTAGATTTTGATAGGTCATTATATCCACTTTTTATCACTTGATGCTACAATCATGGTATTAAAAATTTGCCCAATCATTAGTGAACAGGTTTTTATCATTTTCTTGACACAATCGGTTGCCATAGAAACAGTATAACCTCCTAGGAACCCACGTAATTACAGCTTTAGGGGCTGATAATTCAAAAACGGCGCGGTGAAATTTTTTTATATTATCAACTTTTGATAAGCATGATAAGATGCCACTTTTGGCAAAGTTTAAAAAATTCTGTAGGTAGGGGTTAGAGCCACCTTAATTTTTCGAAAAGTTAAGGTGGCTCTGAACCCTACCTACAGAATTTTTTTTGGACTTTGCCAAAAGTTGTGTCTTATCATGCTTATCAAGAGTTGATAATATAAAATAAAGTAATAGGTCACAGAAGACGTCAAAATGTGGTAAGAACATCAGTGACACACTCGGCTGTCGCCTCGTGTGCCACTTATTTGTTCTTCCCACATTGTGACGTCATCTGTGATCTATTACTGAACAGACGCACGGCAACATGGAATCTATTGGTTAAGTAGACACCTTAATTTCTTCGATCGATGTGTTCGTAGTTCGGTTCCAGCCTATTTCTTAAATACAATAATCCATGATTTGCTACAGTAAATATATCTTATTAGATGTTTTGGTGTGTAGTATCGCGGTATATTTTTACGAGTTGTGCCGTATTTTGACTAGCCCGTAGGGCGACGGGCGAGTCAAAATACAAACAACGAGTAAAAATATACCGCGATACTACACACCGAAACATCTAATAAGTGATTTATTATCCAAAGATTTCTTGTCCCAAAATTCTGACTTGCCAAGTTCTTTAACCTTTCATACGGCCTGGAGGAATGAGACGAGTACAAATATCTTGTGATATTTGTACTTGTTTCGCGCGTTATTTGTACTCTACGAAGCAGAGTTGGATAATAAAAGCTGTTACCAAGCTTTTAAACTACGGTGCAGTGCAAATGAACTTAAATTTTTTACAGCCATAGTTTTCCATGATGTTAAAAACTGGATCTACGGTCGAGATGAACACTCTGAATGCAAAAAAAAAAAAAAAACAATGAATGCAAAACAATACCAAAACACCTAATAATACCTACTAATACCTACTTCTGTTTTAAGTTCCATGCACCAATCAAAATTCTGCAAAGTCTGGGTATTTCGAATGAAGGTGTTCTTGTTATTTTAAGATTTCTTACACGTAATCTATCCCTAACTTTAGATGAATCCTCACTGAGCACTATGATGACAGAAATGTCATCTACACCCACCCAAATGACATGCACTCCAAGTAGCAGTGTTGTAGCCTCAACACCAGGTGAGACTCACTTAGTAGCAGTGTTGTAACTCAAAAACAAAAAAACTGCAAGGTTTCATTTAGTTGCAATGTTGAAACCAAAAAAAAAGCGCTAGGATGATGCAAGGTTCGTTTAGTAGCACCGCGTGTTGTAACCAAAAACAAAAACATGCAAGGTTCGTTTAGTAGCAGTGTTGTTACCAAAAAAAACATGTAATGTTCGTTTAGTACCAAAGTTGTAACCATAAAAACATGCAAAGTTCATTTAGTACTTGTGTTGTAATAGGAAAAAACATGCAAGGTTTGTTTAGTAGCAATGTTGTAAATAAAAACTGGATCTACAGTCGAGATAAACACTATAAATGCAAAACAAAACAAAAAAAAACAATGAATGCAAAACAATACCAAAACACCTAATACCTACTAATA